CGATCCAGTTTTTTCTGGCTCCAAGTTCTTCCAGAACTGTATACTGACCTGAATTGAGAGGCAATATGGGGAAGGAAGGAAGCAAGCAAGCATTTATTAAGTGCCTACTCTGTACCAGCAACTGTGCTAAGTACATCACAAATACTATCTCATTGAAACCTCGTAACAGTCCTGTGAGGTAGATGTCCATTATTATTATTATCATTTTATAGTTGAAGATACTAAGGCAGGCCTAGGTTAAGTGATTTGACCAAAGTCACACAGCTAGCAAATGTCTGAGGCTGTATTTGAACTCATCTTCCTGATTTCAGACCTAGCACTCTATCTATTTGTGCCATTTAGTTGCTTCTAGCGAATAGAGCGCTGAACTTAGGATCAGAAAGAACTGTGTTCAAGTTATGCTTCAGATACTTACTAGCTGTGTAACCTTGGGAAAGTCACTTACCTTCTTTGAGCCTCTCTTTCTTCTTATCACATTCCTCCATATACTCCTGTATGTAGTGAAACAAACATTATTTGATTTCAAAGATCCTCCAGTCTGTACAATAAAACTAAGCAGCCTTCTTCAGTCATAAAATGTAAGAGGTGGACTTCATGACCTCTGATGTCTTTTTCACCTCTAAATCTGTGATCCTGTGACTGGCCCTGAGCATTATGACTTAAGCTTTTTCAGGACTTAAGTAGACAAAAGTACCACTGTGCATGTCAAATGCCCTGATTTAGGTTAAGTACCTTTACCTGTGTCTAATGGAAATAAACCACGTATGCCTGACATATCTAAACTTAATATGTACCTCAGTACATAGTACTGTATTTTGTACACCATTGGTACTTGGTAAATATTTATTGAATGAAGTGAATGAATGGAAGTTTCTTGTTTTAAACTTGTGAATCCATTTTTTCCCATAACACCAGTGATGTGAATGGGTCTTTGGTTCTCAGATAATCTGACAGAGACCCTATGTGATTAATAATATAGCTAAACTATAATTCCAGTAATACTAGCTTTAAATTCTAGATTTTAGGAATTAAGAATCTTGTAATGAAGGAAAGAGAGAAAACAGGAGAAAGAAATAGAAGAGGAGACATAGAAGGGTGACCCCATGTAGAATGAGGAATATATTGTTAGTCATGGCTATCTTTCTACAGGTTGGTGTACTAAGAGAGATACACAATGACATGCTCACATCAAGGAAGTTTCCTAGGGATCCCAAACAGTATAGCCTGAGCCTTGGAGACCAACCTGGATCTGAATGATTTCTGCAAGTGAATTTGATGAGAAGCTTCAGGGTTGTGGCCAATCTAATTAACTACAGAAAACAGTCACCCATCTTCTTTCTTCCTAAATCTTCACATTATACCCTCTCAGCAGCATAAGCCTAAGAATGATGGCTTCCTCTGTACTCTTCACATTCTCAGTGCTGACCAAGCTAATCACCACTAGCCACAGTTTTATCTCTGACCATGGTGTTGACACAAATCACCTGGCTTGTTAAAATTCCAAAAACGCAGTACAAATACTTTCTATGCCCTCCTATATAAAAGGAATTGTGCTAAGCATTAAAAAAAAAACCACTTAAAAAATAAAGAGGTGAATGAATGCAATGTATTCATTGCCTTCAAGGAGCTTACAATCTGACTGGGGAGATAAGACAGATATGCAAAAAAAATCAAAGTACACAATGAACCACTGTGATTTTCTTTTTAAGTTTTAATAATTCAAGGAGGAAGAAATAATTTCTGTTTTGGAGTGATCTGGGTGGAGGAAGAGTAGAGCTGAGTGGGACATAAATAACAGAAATGGGGGTGTCAGTAAGAGAACTTTCCAGATGAAGGAGGAATGAAGAAATACATGGGAGCATGAAATGACAGGAAGAGTTCAGAAAAGTGGTGAATAATTAGATTTGCCTTCAGTACAAAGTATGTCTAGAAATAAGTATAGTAGGCCTGAAAAAAGGTGATTGGAGCCAGATTATAGTGGTATTTGAATGTCATATTCAGTGGTCTAGACCTTATTTGATGCATATTGGGGGGCCATTAACAGTCTTTGAGCAGAGGGTAACATAATTTGACCTACACATTATTTTGGTTTGGAGATAGCTGGATGGAGGAAGAGTAGAGCTGAGTGGTAGATAAATAAGTGGAAACTGGGGTGGCAGTAAGAGAACTTTCCAGATGGAGAAGGAATATTATCATATGATGAAAGACAACACTCACAATGGTTACTGATCTGGTCCTGGAGCCAGAAAGACCTGACTTCATGTCCCCCATTTGATATAAACTGACTAGGTGATACAATAGGTGATGAAAGGTAAATTGTTTAACTACTTAATGTTCTAGGCCAGTGGTGTCAGACTCAAATAGCAATGGGGCCCTCTAAACCATGCATAAGGATCTACACATACTGACTTAGAAAAACATATATTGACATTATGCTTTATTGTGTTTTTATCTCTTTTGTTAAATATTTCCTTAATTGATTTGGGCTGCATGCAAAAATGTTGTGGACCATATGGGACCTCTGGGCAATGTATTTGCCAGCTCTATGAGACTAAAAACTTTGGAGAAGGTGGCCACCTGCCTTGGTAGTGGGAATTTTCTCATCTGAGAGTTCCCTATATAAATAAAATCATGTATCTAGTCCCTATCCCTATTTCTATCAGGAAGACTATTGAAAGAGTCCTAATTAACTAAAGGCTATTGTAATATTCCATACAGGATTTATTATAGGTTTAAACTTGGTTAGTAATCATAGGAAAGGAAAAGGAGGATTAATGTTTTCCTTTTCCTCTTTCCTTCCCCATCAACATTCTAATTTCCTTAATGCATCTCTTTTCAACTAGGTGTTTGGAGGAAAGCAGACTGCCACATGAATAGCTATCTCTCAACCCTGGTAGAAGTATTTAGAATTTTTAAAAAGGTTACTTATTAATCAAATTCATCTTTTATTTGGTATTTTATATTCCAGTAATAAAATGAAATGAAAGATTCAGGCAGCATAAGAAAAGATATTATGAGGTTGAGATATGGTAATTATAAAGGAAGAACAGCCCTATGTGGGAGCCTGCCAAAGATGGTCATGCACCCAAATCCTTCACTAATTTTCCAAGTTCTTTCTCTCCTATGCTTCTGAAGCAATTTTTGTTGTTGTTGTTGTTGTATAGTGGTTTTTTAGCCAAGTCCAACTCTTCATGATCCCATTTGGGATTTTCTTGGCAAAGATACTGGAGTGGTTTGCTATTTCCTTCTCTAGCTCATTTTACAGATGAGGATACTGAGGCAAGGAGGGTTTTAAGTGACTTGCTTAGGGTCACACAGCTAGTAAGTGTGTGAGGCTGGATTTGGACTCAGGTCTTCCTGACCCCAGGCCCAATGCTCTATTCGTTGTGCCACCTGTCTGCCCCTAAATGACTTAATAATGAAACCATGGATCCTTTAAAATTGCTATGTTCTTTTAAATAATGCCTCCTACAGAAAAGGGGATTCAGGGGTAGAAGAGAGGGGCAACATAGCCTAGATCATTTGTAAATTGGGATGTGACTGTCTTTCTTTATATGTAGCTATCATTCTAAATATAGAGATATCTATGAGGTAGTGAGATGAAAAGTGCAGTATCACTCAGGGAAAGCTTCCCAGAGAACTGATGAAGTTCGAGTAATCTAAGAGGGTTTGTGTTTTCCATAGCTTTTGCTTTCTTGAAAAGCATAATCAAAACAAAAGGATGGCTTCAGGGAAGATGTGCTTAGTGAACTGTACTTCAGTTAAAACCAGCCTGAAATGAGGAGTTGAAAATACTCCCAGAGATCCAGGGATCTCTATCCACCAGTGCTTATGGAAACCTAGCTTCTTGTTTTTCCAAACTTTCTCTGCAAAGGAAGCACCTCATTGTCTGGGGACCGTCTTTTTTCCCCATATTTCAGGGATGCCTGTGTATCATCCAAATGGTCCATCTGTTCTCTGTCACTCTTGCTAGATGAACTGGCCTACTCTTTTTCAGGCCCACATGGGATCAGAGCATCAAAGACCAAAGCAATAAAGGATTACAGAGGCCATCTAGCCCAGGGGTGGGGAATCTGTGGCCTCAAAACCACGTGGCCCTCTAGCTCCTCAAATGTGGCCCTTTAACTGAATCTGAACTTCACAGGGCCACACTTAAGGACCTAGAGGGCCACACATGGCCTCGAGGCCACAAGTTCCCCATCCCTAATCCAACATGCTTGTTTTGCAGAAGATGAAATTAAGGCCTACTGAGGTTATGTGACTTGCCCAAAGTCACACAGTTAAAAAGTGACCAAGGCAAGATTCAAACTCAAGGTTTCTGATTCTAAATTAATTGTTCTTTCTAGCTATACCAGGAATTCTTAATCTGTATCTTATACAATTGCTTTTTTTTTATCTAGGTAATTAGATTTTAACATAATTTATTTCCTTTATAATCCTATGTGTTTTATTCATTTTAAAACATTATTTTGAAAAGGGATCCATAGGTTTCGTCAGACTGTCCAATGTTCCACAACATAATAAAAGTCAAGAACCCCTGATATTCCATGTTATTTTTCCTATGTCCTTTCTGGTTTCTTTTATACTACTTTTTATGTTCAGGTGATTGTATACATACAGCCTTCTTACACTCACTATGCATCTTGCTGTTTCTTGAAGGGTTAAACATAGAGAACCGTACCTATCAATGCCTGGGAATTAACTCTCTGATTCTTACCAAGTCTACTCTTAGAGCTGATCATGTCAATTATTCTTCCAAGGTTTCATGTGATTGAAGTTGAGCTCAGTTAAGTTGATACTAAGATGTGGATCAATGACATTTTGTATTTTATTGTTTCCCCCTCCATGGGTCTACAGTATTTTGATATCTACCATAGCAAGCATTTCCTCATTATTGTTTGATAACTTTTTCCCTTTAAATAACACTTGACTTGTTTTATGTTTGATTTTCAGGAAGCAAAGACCTGCTCTTAATCCTTGTTTCTCTTTTTTCCTTATAGGGTCAATGACTGTATCTTGCGGGTGAATGAGGTGGATGTCTCAGAAGTCTCCCATAGTAAAGCAGTGGAGGCACTAAAGGAGGCGGGTTCGATAGTCCGACTGTATGTCCGTCGAAGGCGGCCTATTTTGGAGACAGTTGTAGAAATCAAACTTTTCAAAGGTCCTAAAGGTAATTGTTTTCAAGATCATGTAAAATATTTTCCATCAAAATATCTCATAACATATAACCAAAAATGCTGATTCATAACTTGGTAGTTCAGGAGTCCTCTACCCTTGACTAATTTTTTTTTGAACAACATACTATTACATAAATTTTAAAGTACAGTATTGATTCCCCAAAATGGCCTTTGACCAATTCTTAGACCTGAACATCAAAATTCATGGAAGTTGAGTAAAGACAAAATCACTCGAATTTTCTTTCTTCAGACACTTTGTGTTAGAAGTTGGACTTGAATCCTCCTGATTTCCAGGCTAGATCTCTTTCTACTAAAAAGATATTTATAAGAAATACACACCTTCATACACACACACACACACACACACACACAGATAGATTTCAGTTCAACAGATATTTATTAAATATCTATCATGTACAGAATTTTGTACTAAGGCTTTAGGGTAAATACATAGTTTAGAATCTAAACTATAATAAAACACAATCCCTGCCCTCATGGAGCTTATAGTCTCTCATTCAGTTTGTGTCAATTATACATTCCAACAAATCCTAGAGGATTCCCAATGATTAACTATATTTTTAAGCACACAATTATAGTAGTAGTATGATGGAGCTGTGATCTTACTAATGTACTGTAGGTATTTGCTCCTAGACAGTGAGTCAGTTATCAGTTATTTATTAGGCATTTGCTATATGCAAGGCAATGTACCAAGTGATTCAGGACACAAAGAAAGACAAAAAACAATTCCTGCCCTCAAGAAATGGTCATTTTAAAAAATAATAATTATTTATTTATTTTTAATTTTCAACATTCACTTCCATAAAATTTTGAGTTTTAAATTTTCTCCCTCTCCCTCTCCTCCCCCCTCCCCAAGATGGCATGTAATCTGATATAGTTGCTACTTATACATTATTAAACATATTTTCACATGAGTCATGATGTATAGAAGAATTAGAACCAATGGGAGGAACCATGAGAAAGAAGAAATAAAATGACAAAAGAAAAGGAGAACAAATAGTACGCTTCCATCTGCATTCAGACTCCATGACTCTTTTTTCTGGATGTGGACAGCATTTTCCATCATGAGTCTCACGGAGTTGTCTTAGATCCTTGCATTGCTGAGAAGAACTAAGTCTATCAAAGTCAGTCATTGCACAATGTGATGACTACTACTGTGTACAGTGCTTCCTGGTTCTGTTCCTTTCACTCAATATCAGTTCATATAAGTTTTTCCATGTTTTTCTGAAGTCTTCCAGCTTATTTCTAATAGCACAATAGTAAGAACGGGGTGGAGAGAGTGTGCATAACTAGGTATATATAAGATAGATGTAGAGTAAAAGAAAGTAATCTGAAGGAAGAAATACAACATGTGTAGCTATCCACGTATATCTTCCTGGTTGTCCACAGGGGCCCATTCAAAGTTCTGAGGACCTTCTTCCAGATTTCTTGACATTGAGTGTGTATTAATGGAAGACATGGCTCTCCATCACTAGCTCATGCTATGTGGCATGATCACAACATTTTCCAATCATACATCTTTCTGCTTCTATCATTTACAGTGGATGGAGCTCTGGGCCTAGAATGAGAAAGAGAGTTCAAATTCAACCTTAGAAATTTACTGCTGTGTCAGCTTGGGCAAGTCACATAAATTCTGTTTGCCTCATTTCCTCATCTATAGAATGAGGATAATAATAGTATCTACCTCCCAGGATTGTTGTGAGGACAATAAAATTGGAAAGCACTTAACACAATGCCTGGTACATACTAAACACCACATACATGCCGTTGTTGTTGTTGTTTACACTGCTTCTCTGACTGTTCTTTAGGAATATGTAACAGCCTACTCACATCTACCATGCATCTCTCCTTTGCACTTCAGCTCACCTGCAGTTTTATGATCTTTGGAGACTGGAATATGCCATGACTCCCATCAATGTAATATGACTACAAGAACGTTGGTGTTAAAAATATGGGCCTTTATTTCAAGGAGATCGTTGTGGTCATTAATAGCAACACTGTAAAATGTGCCAAAGCCAATCCTATCTGCTTTCCTGGTGCATTGTCCTTGGAAGGTATCTGTCCATGATACTTCCTTGTCATACATCTCAACATAATGATAACTAACATAATGATCCCTGGCATAATGATAAAATCTATGACCAGGGCTCAGTCTGGCAGAGTGCCTCCCTCTGTGACCCACCCCGGATTCCTTATCTTTATTCCATTGGAATTATACATTATCCTATCCATGCCTTCCTCGCTCTGTGTCCCATTCCTTCTGTCTGATAGCAGTTGTCTACCTTGTCCTTCTGTTGCATCACCTGGTTACATATTAGGAGCCATCTGCTCTTTTTCTAGCAAATGTTTGCAGAAATTCTCGCAGGGATTCAGAATATTGTCTCAGAAGCAGAGATTTTGGGCTAGAAAGGGAAATTAGAGGTCATCTACTCCAACCCCCTCATTTACAAATGAGGACATTGAGGTCCAGAGACTTGAAATGAATTGCTTGAAGTTGTAGAGGCATTTAGATGGTGCCATAGTACATAGAGCACTGGGCCTGGAGTCAAGAAGAGCCAAGTTCAAATCTGGCCTCATTCCCTTACTAGCTGTGTAACACTGGGCAAGACATTTAATCTTTGTCTGCCTCAGTTTCCCGAATTGTAAAATCGAGATAATAATAGCACCTACAGCCCAAGGTTATTGTAAAGATCAAATGAGATAATACTTGTAAAGTGCTTAGCACAGTAGCTGACACATAGTAGGCACTTAATAAATGCTTATTTCCTTCCTCCCTCTCTTCTTGCCTTCCTTCTTCCTTCCCTTCTTTCCTTCCTTCTTCCCTTCCTTCCCCCTACCTCTGCCACTTCCTTCCTCTCTCCTTCCCTTCGTCTTTTCCTTCTTTCCTTCCTTTCTCCCTCCCTCCTTTTTGTCTTGTTTATTCCTCTTTCCCTCATTCTCTCCTTCCAATCCTTTCTTCTTTAGTTTCTTCATCCCTCCCTCCTCTTCTTTCCTTCCTTCATCCTTCCTTCCTGCCCCTCGCCCTTCTTTCTTTTCTTCCTCCCTCCCTTCTTTCCTTCTTTCCTTCCTTCCTTCTTTCCTTCCAAGATTATAGATCATGAAGGGACCCCAATAGCCATCAGATATCACTCTCTTATTTTACATATGAGGAACTGGAGGAAGGTTAAGTCATTTGCCTAAGGTCACATGAGTAATGTCAAGGCAGGATTTGAACAGTGATCCTCTAATTCCAGGGCTAGTGTTCTTTCTACTGTATGCTTCTGAAAAGAAATTCTGAGAAGCAAAATGTCCTGTTGACATAATCATATGGGACAAATATATATGTGCGTGCATGTCTTTGTATGTGTGTATGTATGTGTATGTGCTTTCTTGCTAGGAATAACTGTGTCTGATAATTCGATAAAGAAGATAATCATGCATAGGAAATGCCTCATGCCCCAAACCACTCAGGTTCACAAGGCAATAAAACACATTTGGAGATAAAAAAAAAAATTTAAGTGTGATCTATGGGGGCACATGTCGTTTATTGGTAAATACTGCACGTTTAAAATTTGTATCTATTAAGTGACCTCTCCTACTACCCTCTAAGCTAGAATTTAGGAGAAGTAATTTGAAGGGTGCCCCTGATTAGGCAAGTGCAAAGCAGCTAGTGTCAGTGGCCTGAGGCAAGGGAACATAAGACTGGAGAAAATAGGAGGTTGGCTGTTTTAAGATTTACATGATGTCTTGAGAAATCATTTAGCTGGAACGTAGCTACAGTATAAAAATGAAGATGAAAAACTACCCCTTTGTTCAATAAAGTTCACCCGTAACCTTCTCAGAAACTTGCCCGTTGCTAGTTTTGTTACACTGTGGTTATAATAGCTAACATTTCTGTAGTATTTTAAGATTTACAAAGTGATTTCCTCCCAGCAAATGTATGCAGCAAAGGGATAACATAAGGCAAGTATTATTTTCTCTTTTCCAAATGAGGAAAGTGAGGTCCACAGTGGTAAAGTGATTTGCCCTAGTGCAATTAGTGGCTGAACTAGGGTGTGAATCCACTCGTGCATTGTGTCTCTAAAGTCAGTGACTTTTCTATAAGATACATTAACAGCACACTACAACCATTTTTCCTATGGTTTCCCAAATGTTTCTAAAGATGGTCATGTACATATGTGCAAACACGTACAATAACATTACACTTCATTGGAGATCACATTTCTAGCTGTATCTGCCACTGAGGATATAGCTAAAAATCAAGTTACAAGCAAAAACTTCTTTGTAAAGCCAACAGAATTGTTACAAAGCACATATGGTTTACTGTATCTCTGTCTCCACAAAATGACCTAAGTATACCAGATTATTCTATACTATATTACAAATACGCATATGTGTATGCATTTATCAATATCATATTACATATTTATATAATTGCTTTAAGGTTTACAAAGCACTTTCCACAGTAATTCTGAAATAGCGTAAGTATTGGTAGGGCAGCCAGATGATGGAGTGGATAGAGTGCCATGCCTGGAGTCAGGAAGACTATTCCACTTGAGTTCAAATTCACCTTCAGACGCATACTACGTGTGACCCTAGGCAGGTTGCTTAACCCTTAGTTTACTATTTGCCTCAGTTTTACCATCTGTAAAATGAGCCGGGAAGGGAAATGCCAAACCACTCCAGTATCTCCGCCAAGAAAACCCCAAATGGGATCACAAAGAGTCAGACATGACTAAAAATGACTGAGCAACAACAGCAGCAAGTATTAGCACTCCCACTTTACAGGTATGGAAACTGAGGCTCAGTGAAAATGAAAACTTCCCTTAGAATGAGACTCTTAGCTTTATAGACTGAATGGAGCCCATGAGTTTGATGATATCTATTTTGAACCATAGAGACTTTTCCCTTCCTGGCTTCTTAGCCATACTGTGGATTGATTGAACTTTTCAGAAATCTAACATTCAGATAAATAGAGTATTAATGCGTGCTAATT